CATGCACCAACCCGGGTTCGAGCCGCAGCATCCCATATGGTCCCCAAGCCTGTCAGGAGTGGTTCCTGCATGCAGAGCCAGGAGTGTGGCATAACCCCTGAGCATTGCTGGGTGTACCCTCCCCCAAAAAACCCCCGAGCCCCACCCCAAAAAACATGATTCACCCAAATTTAAAGTATCGAGTTCAATGGTTTTCAGTAAGTCATAGTGTATTTCTGTATCTCATCATCACAATCTTATTTTAGAATACTTTATTTTAAAATATATACTGGGGGGGGGGCTGGAGCGATAGCACAGCGGGGAGGGCGTTTGCCTTGCACGTGGCCGACCCAGGTTCGATTCCCACCATCCCATAGGGTCCCTGCACACCACCAGGAATAAAATAATTCCTGAGTGCAGAGCTAGGAGTAACCCCTGTGCATTGCCGGGTATGACCCAAAAAGGAAGGGAAAAAAATTAAATTGAAATATATACTAGGTGGGGGCTGGAGCAATAGCACAGGGGGTAGGGCATTTGCCTTGCACGCGGCTGACCCAGGTTTGATTCCCAGCTTCCCATATGGTCCCCTGAGCACTGCCAGGGGTAATTCCTGAGTGCAGAGCCAGGAGGAACCCTTGAGCATCGCTGGATGTGACCCAAAAAGCAATATATATGTGTGTGTGTGTATATATATATATATATATATATATATATATAATATCAAGTAACTTTTTAGTATCTGAACTGCAAACCACAGCGCACAAAATGGGGGAAAGAGAGAGAGAGAGAGAGAGAGAGAGAGAGAGAGAGAGAGAGAGAGAGAGACCCTAGAAGCAGGCAGGGGTGGGGGTGATGGGAGGGAACCTGGGGACCCCGGTGCTGGGAAATGTGCCCTGGTGGAGGGACGGGTGTTGGGACACCGTGGGACTGAAACCCAACCATGAACAGCTCGGCAAAGGTCTACCCCACAGTGTTTCAATAAGAAAGTCTCAAAGAAAAATTTTAAAGAATACTTGATTGCTGAACGTCGTGCTATTGTCTGCCGAGACCACATTTTTACTTATTCACCCATCAGTAATGAACATGTAGGTTATTTTCATATGTTTGCTGTGATGAAAATTCTGCTATTAAAATTCTTGAACACATTTTTGTGTGGGCCTGTGTTCATCGCCTTAAACTTTGTTTTCCCTCACGCCAAAGCAGAAAAACCAGTTTTCCACTTGGTAGCGTTTGCTTCTTGTATTTGCCTGTTCCTTGACTTCCAATATTTCATGACTAGACAGAGTTCTCTTTAATGAAAACACAGCTTGAAATGTTTATTTCCTAACCTGGTGGCCTCTGTCATTTCACTAAAAAGTTTAGGTCACTCGGGGCCGGAGCGGTAGTGCAGTGGGGAGGGAATTGACCCTGCACGTGGCCTCAACCCTGGGACCCCAGAGGGTCCCCGCCAGGAGGGATTCCTGAGTGCAGAGCCAGGAGTAACCCCTGAGCACTGCTGGGTGTGGCCCACAAACAAAGAAAAAAAGAGTTTAGCTCATTCACTCTGCGCTAAACTCCTGCCCCGGCGCCTCACTGTCCTCACCAGAGCCCCTCGGACGGGGGCAGTTGAGTTTCCCTCCCTCCTCGCCACCGTCCCCCACCCCCGAGCAGAGCCCCAGCAGCTGAAGACCTCCAGAACCAGCCACAGCCATGCTGAGGCCACTCTCCACACGTCCGGACAAGCCTCATGCATGAAGGGTCCTGGAGCTGAGATCTCCAAGCCTGCTCAGATTGGGACTGGGTCTTCTCCACCCAGACCCGCCATCTTCCAGTAGGTAGGCATCACACCCACCACCTGCCGCAGGCGCCAGGTTGGTCCCATCAACGACCAAGAGGCAGGGACTATAAAACCCAGCTCCCAGAAGCGCGCGGCCACATTTGCGGCCGTGTGACATCTTACTATCTCATTCCTACTTTGGACAAACTGGCAGGCCACTGAATGTAACCTGCCCACGCAGCTGGCAAACTCCCCATGGCGTACCCAATATGCCAAATACCAGTAATAATGATGGGTCTCGTTCTCCTAGCCCTGAAAGAGCCTTGAATGTGGCACTTTTTAAAAAATCTCAGGGTTAGGACGAAGGAGACGTTACTGGTGCCTGCTCGAGGCAATTGATGAACAACAGGATGATCGTGATCGCGAGCTCATTCACAGTTATGATTGCTATTATTTGGGGAAATCTGTGCCTACCGCCTTAGGAATTAGTTTGTATTGTTTTACACACTCTTACATACATGCTCTTACATACTAGGCTGGAGCGATAGCACAGCGGTAGGGCGTTTGCCTTGCACGCAGCCACCATGGCCGACTCGAGTTTGATTCCTCCACCCCTCTCGGAGAGCCTGGCAAGCTACCAAGCGTACCCGTGACGTACTCGATATGCCAAACACAGTAACAAGTCTCATGATGGAGACGTTACTGGGCCTGCTCGGGCAAATTGATGAACAACGGGAGGACCGTGACCGTGACCTACATACTTTGCAAAATTATTTCACACTGATCTCCCTTTTGGTCATTTTAATTAAGCTTTATTTCATTCCCATATCCACCAGTTTTGTTTTCCTTTTGCGTTCCCCTCATTCGATCTCTAGGGGCCAGATAAGACCACGTTCATGCACTTACCCCTCAAATCCATGTTGTCTAACCCTGTCTCAGCCAAAGTACAGGGATCCGCACCTTCGCGTTCCAAGTCAGAATAGTCCCAGTTCAGTCTCAGCTGAGGATTTCCAGCGTGAGGAGAAAGTTCATGTCGCAGAAACAGCCCGAGTTTGTCAACTCAGCCAATCTGGGCACATTTCCGTTAAAATTTATTTCTGGGGGCTGGAGCGATAGCACAGCAGGTAAGGCGTTTGCCTTGCGCGCGGCCAACCCGGGTTCCATTCCCAGCATCCCATATGGTCCCCTGAGCACCGCCAGAAGTAATTCCTGAGTGCAGAGCTAGGAGGAACCCCTGTGAACTGCCGGGTATGACCCCCCCAAAAATTTATTTCTGCCTGTTTGTCGCAGGGCTGCTTAGACATCTCGCGATAAATGCCCGCTCGTTTGGCAATTGAACATATTATATTGGCTCCGCTGTCTCTGCAGCGAGAGTGTTCATCTAGGAGGGAGGCAGAGACAGACACGGGGGTTTGGGTATGGAGCCAGCCCACGGGTGCTCAGGGATCACTCCTGCGGGGATCAGGGTACAGGCTGCTGGGGACCAAGCCAGGTGGGCCTCATGGAGGCAAGCGCTTGACCCCCTGTATGCTCTCTGGTCCTTGTCTGTGGTCGGGAGAGTATGAGAACCAACCGCTATCTTCTCCATCGTACAGATAGATCACCGTTTTCTTCAGGAACATTCTAGACTGCAAGGGAATCACCGAGAATAAAGGGCTGTTCTGTCCACGCCTCTCCCAGTGTCCCCACGGGCAGGTAGCCCAGTGCACAGACGTTAAGACCCGAGCTGGCACCCGCTACCTGCACACAGCCCCTGACTCTGTGAGCCGAGCCCTGCCGGTGCCCCCAGACAGGGATAGTCCTTTGGCCCAGACCCCCCAGGTGGCCTGTCTCGGAACCTGCACTCCGCACCCCCCGCCCCCTGCGGGCCCAACCACTGGCTTACACTTAGATTGTCATTTTGCAAAAACAAAAGAAAGAAGGAAAAGTTCCTTAAGAGCATGTGGTGTGCAGCGACCTAATGTCCTGGAGATGCAGCCCTGAGAACGAAGTGGGCCAGTACAGCGTTGTCGATGCCTGCCTGGCCCGCAGCCGATCCGGGTTCCAGCCCTGCCTCCCTCACCAGGAGCGACTCCTGCGTGCATGGCCAGGAAGAAGCCTGGGCACAGTCGGGTGTAAACCAAAAACTGTAACCAAAAAAAAAAAAAAAAAAAAAAAAAAACCACCAAAAACTCATGTAGGAATTTCTTTTTTCTTTTCTTTTTTTTTTTTGCTTTTTGGGTCACACCAGGGGATGCACAGGGGTTCCTCCTGGCTCTGCACTCAGGAATTACCCTGGCAGTGCTCAGGGGACCATATGGGATGCTGGGAATCGAACCCGGGTCGGCCGTGTGCAAGGCAAATGCCCTACCCGCTGTGCTATTATTCCAGCCCCTCATGGAGGAATTTTGCTTGTTTCCTTCTAGGACACACGGGGAGGCACTCCAGGGTCACAACCAGCTCAGTGCTCGGGGGTCACTCCCAGATCAGTGCTCGGGGGTCCCTCCCAGATCAGTGCTCGGGGGTCCCTCCCAGATCAGTGCTTGGGGGTCCCTCCCAGCAAAGTGTTTGGGAGGTCATTTCTAGCTCAGTACTGGGGGGAGTCACTCCCAGCTCGGTGCTTGGGGGTCACTCAGATGATGCTCAGGGGATCAGGTGTGGCGAAGGTTTGGACCTGGGCGTCCTGCAAGCAAACTGCAGGCTCAGCTCTCTAAGCCATCTCCTCATCCCTGGGAATTTCACTTTTTAAAAAACTGGGCGAGGGGATCACTCCCGGCTGGGCTCAAGGGACCATAAGCAGTACCGGGGACAGAACCAGGGTTGGCCACATGCAAGGCAAGTGCCGTAGCCGCTGTGCTGTCACTCCAGCCCCAAGTGAAACAGTTGCCGTTTTCCTCCCGGCCGGTTCCGTCCCAGGGACACAGTGCCATCGCCCAAACGAGCCTCAGTGGCGTCCAGTCTGGGCTCCCTGTGGCTCAGGACAGCTGCTGCCCTGGAGAGCAAGGCCAAGGCCCACCTGCTCAGACGTACCACCCCCGCGCGCCCCAAGTGTCACCCAGAAGCCGGACCGAGCCTCGGCGCCAGCCTCCAGCTGGGCACAATGCAGGTGCCAGCACTGAGCCAGACGCCCTGGCACCTCGTGGGCACGTGTGAGCGTCTCCAGGCAGTAAAGGGACAGCAGAGGGGCCCAGAGACCCCCAGGAACCGCCCTTCTTCAAGCACGTTCCTCCTTCCCGCTGTCCGGCTACCACCGCAAGGCAAGTGTTCAACATAACATTCAAGCAGCCACAGAAAAATCAGAACTAAACTTTATTTCACATTGATAGAAACCATGAAAAAACATTTTTCTACACGCTAGCACATTTCAACGGAATATTTTCTTGCCATAAATTAGATATTGCTGATTGGTTGAACGGAAACCAGTTTCTGATCTTCTAGGGAAAGCGAAAGGACTCAGTGGAGAATGATTGTTCAGAGACCGAAAATCCAGACATAAAACATATGGCTTAATTATCAGAATCCCACGCACGCCACCACTCAGTGATCCCCATGATTACTTCGCGCCCGTTTAGAAAGATGCATCCCGAACATGGTTTAAGCCGGGTGGAATACAGCAGAGAAGCTAGCAGTTCAGAGATACCGACCTTCCATTCCTGCCGACGTGTTTAACAGCCCGGCAACTAAGTCAGACATGCTGAGTTTGATGGAATTACCCATGAGTTTGACTGTAAACGATTTTACCAGTGATTGGACATCTTCAACTCTTTAAAACAGTAAGTACTGCTCTATTTGTTTGCACAAAAGAATTATTGAGTCACAGCGGAAGTGAACATTTCAAGGGCCGGTGAGGGCTCTCCAAGGGCCGAGCACGGGCTTTGTGTGCAGAGGCCTGGGTTCGATCCCCGGCACTCACAGGCCCCAGGCGAGCACTGGGGCAGAAGCAGTCCCCTAGCAGATCCCTGCCAGGGAAGACCCCTGGAGAAAAAAAAACACCCCGAACATTTCAAATCAGCCCATTATCAGATAAAAGTCAAGCAGGGTTTTCTAACAGTGTTCATTGTCTACAGCAGTTGATTCCAAACTTACGTACAGAGTGCATTTGCTAAGACTGGCTCTGGTACAAAGAGAGCGCATCTTAGAAATTGCAGTTTTTAAGAACTAAGAGAGTCCAGAGCAGAGTTGATCGTGACCTAATTACTCCTTCAGCTGACAAAAACAAAAACAAACAAAAAATACAACCGCAGGTATTCCTTGTTACCTGGAACGAAAAACTCTCCCTCTCAAACTTGCTCTAGGGAATAACTCTGAACTTAAGGAAGAAGCAGTACAGGAAGTCTCAAGTAGCGAAGAGGTTTGACGCCTGGTTCCTTTGACTCTAGGCAGATCTTAAACACCATCAGGTCTGGTAAATCCAAGTCACAACATGTACTGACCGACAGCGGGCGTCGACGGCAAGGAGGCAATATTTGGTCTGTTACAACTGGTAAAAAACAAAGGAATACTGTTCCGGAGAACAACACCACCAGGTGAGATAGAAGTGACCTTGGGGGCGGGGGGGACACCCAGAAGGCCCCCCAAACATGACTGCAAGAGAGCACGGTTCCCGCTGACTGCCACGAGGGGTCACGGAATGCCACCGCACCCTTATCATGTCACAATCACCAAGTACACGGGGAGACACGTAGAAAAATAGAGATATTGCAGAGTGACCGAGGGAGGGATCTGGGGCGAGACCCGGAGAGTGAGTCGCAGCGAGAGGAAACGGTCCCTATCGCAACTGCTCGCTCGGACCCCGGCAAGTTCTCACTCAGCTCAGCGCTGACAAACCACCTACTACGACATCTGGATTGCAGGCGCTTTATTACTGGGCCGAGTTACAGCTGGGGAAGGGGAGCGAGCAGCTCCGGTTCTTCGAAATACTAGCAGGTATTTCTGGGCTCCGGCCTACACCTGTCCGTGGAGGGGCCCTACCTGTGCTTGGAGAGAAACTCAAGAGGTCACGCATTTCCCACGGGAGGTATCATTTAGGCTACGTCATTCGTATTGTGTATCTGCCCAACGTTTTAACACTGCAGAGAGGACGAGTCTCGGGGTGGGGTGGGGAGTGAGGGCCGGGTCCGGTTGGCGTCGATGCTGGTGCACTTCCACACAAGGCCTCTTCGTGAAGTCAGTCCACAGGAGGTAGGAGCTTATCGATGAACTGCTTGACGTCCATCATTTCCTGTTGGGAGTCAACAATTCCACAGAGTCAAGACGTCACCGCCGGAAACTCAGGTCCCCACCCGGGTCCCCGTGACGGAAATCTCCAGGCCTTCTCCGATTCGGGATGGGCTACCTCCCCCCCCCCCCCCCCCACCACCACCACCTCCCTGTACTTGCAGAAGCCCTGGCCATCACTCCCACACCCCAAAGCCACCGCCCAGTTAAAAACTGAACTCCCTCTGGACCACCCAGTTTAAATTTCTGGATTTCAGGGAGTGACACTTCCAAACTCCACAACATCCCGGGAGGAGCGCACCACGCCAGATGGGATAGCACGGAGAAGCCAACCAAACTCCACCAGCAAAAACCAAGAACACAGAAAGCTTAACCGGTAACAACGGCTTAGTAACCCTCAGACCGGGGCTTGATGTCTCTCCATGGTGCGACACAATCATTCTCACCCCTTTTCTTCCAAGGAAATAATTTCTTGATCATTCCACTAGTGATCAAGCTACCGAATGTAACCTGCCCACACGGCAGAGTCTGGCAAACTCCCCATGGCGTACCCAACATGCCGAATACCAATAACAATGATGGGTCTCATTCTCCTAAAGAGCCTTGAATATGGCACTTTCTTAAAAATCTCAGGGCTGGGATGAAGGAGACGTTACTGGGGCCTGCTCGAGGCAATCGACAAATAACAGGATGGTCGTGATCGTGATCCATTAGTGATTTATTGATAACAAGCAATGTAAAATAAGTTATGGTGGGCCTGCCACGGGGGCAGGCTTGAGCGGTGGCTGGGAAAATGGACAGTATGTAAAATATCCCATGCTTTTCATAGACTTGAAGTATGACACGGTGAAGGCTCTGTGCCTTTCATAATGACGTAATTAGGGATTTGAACACAAGCAAGTGCTGAAGATTAGCTTGGAAACACACAGAAATGAATGCATTATATGTTTGTTATAGAAAAGCCTTCTGGGTCGACTCCGATGTTCTGTTCTAATATTCCACACACCTGAGCGACCCACATCCCATTCCTTCATCATTCGACCCCAGCGTCCCCACACTCTGGCCCCGCGAAGGCCCACCTGTGGCGTGGGTTGGTTTATTTTTTTAATTTGTTTTGGAGTCACACCTGGCGGTGCTCAGGGCCCCCTCCTGGGGGGCGGGGACTGAACCGGGGTCAGCGGTGAGCGAGACAAACACGTGGCCAGCCCTACTGGCCGCACTATCCCTTGGGCCCTACCCAGGTGCCTGGTCTGCCCCCTCCCAGGCTGCCAGAGAACAGGACAGTCCAGCAGCCGGACGCCCGCGGACTCTGAGCAGCCCGCCCCCAGCCACTCTCTCCCCGCCCCGTTTCTGGGCCGTCCTTCAAGACAGATCAACCGTGTTCTCACGGCACCCCAGAACCCCAGGGCGTCGGTCTCTCTGTATAAGCCCGAGAGTCACCTTCTCTGCCAGGCCCCAAAGTGATGGAACCAGGCTCAGAAGCAGAAAGTCAGGTGACCCCGGGCCACGCCCCACTGTGTTGCCAAGGGTACTGGATTCCAGGTCTTTCCACCTCTGGACCTCCCCCAGCCTCCTCCATCATCCAAAGACCACAATAAGGGCAGGAGCAAGAGGACAGAGGATGGGGTGCTTGCCCTGCATGCGGCCGATCCGGGTTCGATCCCCAGCATCCCCTATGGCCCATCCCCTAAGCCACGCCAGGAGCAACACCCGAGGGCAGAGCCAGGAGGAGGCTTTGCCGGTGTGGCCCCAAAACCGAAACAAAAGAAAAGTCCTAAGCAACCCTCCTCCAGAAGCAGTTTCCAAACAGGTACCTGGTGACAAGAACTATGCATCATGCCTTCATACGCTTTGAAGGTCACGTTGTCTGGATTTACCAACGTCTTCAGCTTCTCCACGGTCAGAGTGCCGAACATCAGGGGGACTAAGGGGTCGCTATCTCCGTGGCACTGGAGAATCGAAATATCTCGATTAACACCGCTGATGGGGCCCTGCAAAAGAGCAGAGGAGAGACCAGTCGGACTTAGTCAGGAGCGTCACACCTCACACCAGGCATTACAGCGTGAGACACGCACACGGAAGAGGCTACCAGTCCCAACAAGGGGCTCCATTTGGCCATACAAACAGAGCCCTCCCACCCCTCCACTTCCCACGCCGCTACTTAAACTTCAGTTGTGGGGCCGGAGCGATAGCACAGCGGGGAGGGCGTTTGCCTTGCATGCGGTCGACCCGGGTTCGATTCCCAGCATCCCATAGAGTTCCCCGAGCACTGCCAGGAGTAATTCCTGAGTGCAGAGCCAGGAGTAACCCTTGTGCATCACCGGTGTAACCCAAAAAGCAAAAAAATAAAAAATAAAAACTAAACTCCGCGCTGTTCCGCAGTGAATCAATCAGCCCCTTCAGGCGGACTGTCTCTTAAGTTTCACGGTGCCTTAGCTGGTACAAACCTTGTTCCTCCTCAGCTCTCACAGGACTTAAATCAGATTCTGAACAAGCAGAATTCACAAGCAGAATTCTGCAAGACGCCAGACTGACAAGATTTAAAGCTGGAGGTTGGGGCTTAGAGCACTAGCACAGTGCTGGCCCTGCATGCGGCCGACCAAGGTTAAATCCCCGGCACCTGGGGCTGGAGCCATAGCACAGCGGGGAGGGCGTTTGCCTTGCACGCAGCCGACCCGGGTTCGATTCCCAGCATCCCACAGGGTCCCCAGAGCACCGCCAGGAGTCATTCCTGAGTGGATGAACCAGGAGGAACTCCTGTGCATCACCAGGTGTGACCCAAAAAGCAAAAAATAAATAAATAAATCTATCTCCGGCATCCCATATGGTCCCCTGAGCACCATCAAGAGTGATTCCTGAGTGCATGAGCCAGGAAGAACCCCCGAGCATCACCAGGTGTGACCCAAAAAAGAAAAATAAATAAAAAAAATTTTTAAGAAAGATGGAGGTGAACACAGACCCACATCTGCGTCCCCCACGTTCGTCACCTAAGGCGAGTCCTCTGTCCCCACTGTCCTCCAAGGAAGGTTTCTGGGAAACGTGACCCAGGAGCAGGACACACAAGGAAACCAAGTGTCGCCAAGAGACGCTGGCGGCCGCCTGGAATGGCTCAGTCCCTGATGCACGTGTGTCACTGCAGAGGAAGCAGCGTCCCGGGCCTAATGCCCAGCAAAGGGCACCGACACCACACCGCCATCTGTTCTCAGTCGGTCATTATCTCCCGACCCCCGCTGGCTCCGGCTGGAGGCTGTGAGCCGTGAGCCCAGAGACTCAGGCAGCTCAAGGCACGAGGGGGCGAGCTCCGGCCGGCCCCTCCCCGCTGCAGGGTGCTGGGACCAAGGGCCACAGTTGCAGGCACCTGGACAGGCCACGAGCAGCCAGGCAGTGAGCCCCTGGGACAAGAGATTCAGCTCTGAGTGCGCCAGGCAGCCCGGGCTGTACACGCCTCTGAAGTGTCCCCGCCCCAGGAGCACATGGCCGAGTGACCACTGAGCCGAGCGCGGGACACACAGGGATGGAGGGAGCCGAGCTGGGCTGGAGCCCCAGGACCCCACAGGGTCCCCCGAGCACCCCCCAGGAGGGATTCCCGAGTGCGGAGCCCGGAGTGGCCCCCAAAGCAAAGCGTCAGGACGCACTCCCTCGGCGCGGCCCGTACCTCTGGGAAGGACGCCCGCATCGGGAGCCAGCAGCTCAGGGCCGTCACCCCCGCCAGCTTCTGGTGCGTGGTCAGCGCCGTGTAGAGGGACAGCGCCCCGCCCTGCAGAGACAAGCGGGACCGGTCAGTCTGGAGAAGGACCCCCGCCCTGCCGGGAGGAGAGCAGGGCCCCAGCCAGTGAAGACGGGTCCGTGGGTAGGGCGGCGCTCCGGAGGGAGACCGCCCTAGTCGGGACTGCGCCCATCTGCCCGCTCAAGGCTTGGGAATAACAGCGAAGGCAGCTGAAACTGCAGAGGGGAGAGGAGGAAGGAGGGAGGGAGGGAGGGAGGGAGGGAGGGGGAGGGAGAGAGAGAGAGAGAGAGAGAGAGAAAAGGAGGAAGGAAGGAAGGAAGGAAGGAAGGAAGGAAAAGGAAAGGAAGAAAGGAGAGGGAGGGAGGGAAGGAGGGAGAAAGGGAGAGTAGGGAGAAAAGAAAGAGAAAGCAAGATGGAAGGAAGGAAGGAAGGAAGGAAGGAAGGAAGGAAGGAAAAGGAAAGGAAGAAAGAAGGAAGGAGAGGGAGGGAGGGAAGGAGGGAGAGAGGGAGGGTAGGGAGAAAAGAAAGCAAGCAAGATGGAAGGAAGGAAGGAAGGAAGGAAGAAAGAAAGAGGGAAGGAGGGAGGGGAGGGAGGGAGGGAGGAAGGAAGGAAGGAAGGAAGGAAGGAAGGAAAAGGAAAGGAAGAAAGAAGGAAGGAGAGGGAGGGAGGGAAGGAGGGAGAGAGGGAGGGTAGGGAGAAAAGAAAGAAAGAAAGAAAGCAAGATGGAAGGAAGGAAGGAAGGAGAGAAAGGAAAGAACAGAAAGAAAGAAAGGGAGAAAGAAAAAGAAAGGGAAAGAGAAAGAAAGAGAAAGAAAGAAAGAAAGAAAGAAAGAAAGAAAGAAAGAGAAAGTGGGATGGAGAGAGAAAGAAGAGGAAGGAAGGGAGAAACAGAAAGAAAGAAAGAAAGAAAGAAAGAAAGAAGAAAGAGAAGAAAAGGAAGGAGCGAAGGGAGGAGGGAAGGGAGGACAGGAGACAAAGCAGAAGCCGGAGACAGCGACCAGGAGAGGCCCCGGCGGCCATCAGCACAGACCGCCCTCCACCCCCCGCCCCGCCACCCGCAGGGCTCTCTGGCCACCGGGGAAGGACAAGATGTCACTCTTTCACTGGGGATTTGCCAATCAGAATGACGGTTGTTCTGCCACCTGGTGTGGCCAAGAAGGTCAGAGGTCATGGCGGGAAGCAGAGGCCGAGGGCGACTCTGGGCACAGCTGCCCTCGCCCTGCGCTCCCAGGCTGGCCCTGCCCGGCCAGAAGAACCCAGAACCCTCCGGAAATGCAGTCAAGAGGGCCGGAGCCACGGGACATGCCCGGGCGTTCAACAAAAAATAAATGAAGAGGGGCTGGAGCGATAGCACAGTGGGTAGAGCATTTGCCTTTCACTCGGCTGACCCGGGTTCGATTCCCAGCATCCCATAGGGTCCCCTGAGCACCGCCAGGAGTAATTCCTGAGTGCAGAGCCAGGAGGAACCCCTGAGCATCACCAGGTGTGACCCAAAAAGCAAAAATCATAATAGTAATAATAATAATAATAATAAATAAAAATAGAAAAATAAATGAATGGAGATTAAGCATCCCCAGAAGCACCTGAGGCTACGGCCCCTCCCCGCCCCCATCTCAGCACCCCTGCAGTGACCTGGGGTGGTCTGTGAAGGGAATTCACCCTCCGTCCCACGTCCCATCCATCTACGTGACAGGCCGGTTCTCAAGACACAGGCTCCACGGTGAAGGCGACGGGTCACCAGAGAGCAGAAAGGGGCAGGGCCAGGGAGCAGAGTCCGGTCACCGTCTGCTCACGTCACCCCCGTTTGAAAGGGAAGAGCACGGGAAGGGTTCCTAGTGGCTTCTACCACGCAAGCCCACCCACAGGGAACCCCGGGCACGTCGGCATGGGTCTGCGGACGGTCCGGACGAGCCTGACCTCACCTGAGAAAATCCTCCCAGGACGATCCTGTTGGAAGGGATGCCGTTCTTCACCTCCTGGTCGATCAGCGCCTTCACTGAAACGGCAAGGGTCACGGCGCTGAGCCCCGCGGACACGCAGGCCAGGCTCGCAGCGCAGAGGGGACAGAAAGTAGGCGGAGAGGGGAACGCGAGGAGGACCGGAAAGGCCCCGTTAAAACGTGACGGGGGAAGCATCTTCCGCGTGGCACTCAGATTTTGCAGGTGCCGCCGAAACTACGCCAGGGTTGCTGGTTACATGATGTTGAAGCTACTTCTGTCACCAACGGGCCAATATCCCTTCCCCGTGCTCGATCCTTTCCCCGCACACTGGCTCTCTCTTCAGGGAGCCAGGAGCACCGTCACCCCGAGAAGGTACCGAGCGGAACTCCTCAGAGGCACGTCTGGTGGCTGAGTCCACACTCTGATGCGGCAGGAGCTGTTGGAACTCGCCAACCAGCACCCGCGCCCACGAGCCCGGAGACAGTCCCTGAGCGCTGCCAGGGTGGCCCCAAACCAACCCACACCACATCTAGGAAGTGACGTCTTCACGGTTAGAGCCGAGATTCTAACTCAGTAAGCGCCGAGCACAGGGCGGGCGGGCACTGACGAGCTGGGCTGCCGGCTGTGGGCCCATCGCTGGCGCCGCCCGGGGACAGCACTGAGCAGGTGTCCCGCCCTGAGTCGAGACCCCCAGACCACCAGCTGCATCGCTCTCAGGTTAAAACTGCTGAGGAATAGCGGGGTGGGTAAGGCACACAGCTTGCTCGCAGCCCACAGGGTCCGAGCTCCCACGCCCACCAGGACTGATCCCTGAGCACCGAGACACGAGTCAGCCCTGAGCACTGCCGGTGTGGCCCGTCAAAATAAGCATACGTCCAACTTGAAGTCTCCTTTCTAATCAGAACACGAAAGCCAGCTTTTCCCGCAACAGTACAAAACCTTAAACATTCAGATGAAGAATCATCTTCTTGGGGGCTGGAGCGCGAGTCCAGCGACAGTCCAGGTATTGCAGTGGCCGACCCGGGATCCATCCCTGGCCCCCCACTGGCCTCCTGAGCACCCCCAGGAGGGACCCCTGAGGGCAGGGCCAGGAGTCAGCCCCGAGCACTGCCAGGTGTGGCCCCGAAGAAAGAAAGCAATTCTTTCATTTGGGAATATCTGTCCGACCAATCGACATCCAAAAACAATGGACTCCTGGCAGGAACACGGCTGGGTGGCACATGCCTGCCGGCGTGACCTCGAGTTCAATCCCTGCACGGCCCGCACCCCGAGGGAGCACCCTTCTACCACCTCGGCACACGGTTGCTTAGCACCCAGAGCAGTTCACTGGGACGGCTTCCGCCCAAGCCCGGTGCCAGGCTGCACGACACCCTGGAGAGTGTCACAGCCCACACTGTCCTCAAGGCGCCACCAGCCCCGCTCAGCCCTTCCTCCGTCCTGATCTCAAGCGCTCACAGCTCGGACAACCCTGCGTCCCTCTCCAGGGCCTGGACGAGACCATGGGCTGGCCTGACCGCCCGCCCCTTCCTGCCCACAGCCCAGCTGAGCCCTGCGGGCACCGTGACCACCAAGAGGACAGGAGGATGGAGAGAGAGAGACCGCGCCCCCACCTCCCCGCCCACAGGACTCTGCAACGGTCCTTTCTGCATTGCCCCCGGTGTTGCAGCCCGACCTGGCGGTGCTCAGGGGTGACTCCGTGGGCCCCTGGCTCTGGCCCCGCCACCCACCCCAGTACCACGCGGGAGCCCGGAGCCGCCCAACACACACTTACCACTCTCCGCTGCCTGCTTGATCCCATGCTCGTCCTCTTGTGAATCGGGTGAGAGTCCAATGATGTCAAACCTGGAAGACGATACACACAAATCTTACACAAATCCTTAGCTTGAAGAACAAATTGCCCTTCCCCTCAGGGGGAAACACACACACACACACACACACACACACACACACACACACACACACGGTTGGGATCATCCCAAAATTAGTCTCGTTTACTTATTTGTTTTTTGCTGATTTTTTTGCTTTCTGGGTCGCACCCGGCGATGCTCAGGGGTCACACTCAGGAATCACCCCTGGCGGTGCTTGGGGGATGCTACGGGGTGCCGGGGATCACACCGGATGGGCGGCGTGTCAGGCCAACGCCCTCCCCGCTGTGCTAGGTCAGCCCCAGGCTCGCCTCGTTCAGACACTGGCGACTGCAAACGTGCACAAGCAGATGTGACTGTCCTGCTGGGCTGAGGAGCGGCCTGGAAAGGCAGAGCTGTGGGCATGCCACGTGCTGACCGCAGACCACCCTGTGGCCACACGCAGGACACCCGGGCCTCACTCCTCGAACCCCGACTCCTAACAAGGGCGCGGGTGCCAGGCCCGGGGTCAGAGCGGGTGTCGGTGACATTCTCTGTGACGGACACGACCAGGCGACTCAAAGGTGCCGGCTGGACCCGTCCCCACAATAAGCCACTCTCCGGGGCCTCCCTGAGCTCTGGTCTCCAGGGCTGAAGGAGCTGAACAGGAGTCTACAGTGCTCGGAAACGCCTGGGCCAGACAACGGGGGAAGTGTGTGACTCCGACATCCTCGAGTTCCTTTCTCTCTAGCTCGTCAGGGATTCCAACGGCATCTGCAGTGCCCAGACTTTGGGGCAGAAACACACCAACCACCTCACGCCGAGAGGAGTAGGGACCCACACGGGGGTGGGGGGACCCGCACATCGACGCCATCCGTACAAAGTTCAGAGGCTCGTTTTCCTTCACTGTGTCTCAGGCTCATGCACGGGACGTCCGGCACGCGCTCAACACCTTCCCCAACGCCACGCACGGCAGGTGCTCACACCGGAGCCCCCGGGGACCCCTTTTGGGCCTGGCTGCTGCCCACTGCTCTGGGGGCATCCCTCAGGGTCTCCAACAGCACCAGATGGAACCAGGGGCTGCGTGTGGAAACTGCCCGCCCGGCGAGGTGAGGAGCCCAGAGGAGAAGGCGTGCGTGGGCTCCTGAAGGCGGCCAGAGGGGGTCAAGGTAGCAACGAGGCCAGAGAAGTGGCGGCCCAATGTCGGAGCAGCAAAATCTTGATCTGTCTTTAACCTCCTCCCCTTCACCTAAATGTTCTGCTCGATGCAACTGGAGACCTCGACCCTCTTCTGCTTTCCCCTGACACAGACGCTATGGGTAGGAGCCAAGCACACGACCCCCCCCCCCCAACCTTCCCCTTCGCCGTTCACCCGAGTCCCCCTGTGCCCTTCTCTCCAGCTCCTGTGTCCTCCCACCCCGTCCTCTCGGGGACCCTGTGGGCACACCGCACGGGGGACCCCCCCATTCAGACAGGCCCCATGCTGGCGTTCTCAGGTTCTCCGCTGCTCTCTTCCTGGTGCTCCTTTTCTCGGCCGGGTGTGGGTAACCACCTGGGCTCTGGGGAACCTTTAACTTTTTTTCCCCCTTTTGTTATAAAAACACTAAACCAGAGAACCAAAAAAAAAAAAAAAATCCCACCTTCCCACCAAATGCTACTAAGGAGCACGTCTTTTGCTCCATACCTTTTCCGCTTTTCTTTCTCTTGTCAAGCTTTGAAACAACAAATGAGGTTTGGTTTTGGTTTTGGTTTTTTAAATAAAGCTTTTAAAGTGTGTGGGGGGAGGGGGGAGGGGAAGAAGTGACAGGCTCGAGCCAGGAGTAGGCCCCAAGCCCTGCCAGCTGCGACCCCAGACTAACGCACAGGGTCAGTCTAACACAGTGTGGGGACGGGGCCCGCACTCAGGGAGGGGAAAGAGCCCCACAGGCACCCTGCACACAGCGACGTCTCCGGGGACCAAGCAAGGCCAGTGCCTGGAGGAGAAAATGCCACTGGAGCGACAGCACAGCGGGGAGGGCGTCTGCCTTGCACGTGGCTGACCCGGGTTCGATTCCCAGCATCCCATAGGGTCCCCGAGCACCACCAGGAGTAATTCCTGAGTTCAGAGCCAGGAGTAACCCCTGAGCATCGCCGGGTGTGACTCAAAAAATAAAAAACAAAAAAAAAGAAAATGCCCCCCTCCCCCTCCCAGCAGCCAGCACCATTCTAAAGAAGAGACAGGACGGCGAGGAGGGCGCCTGCCTTGCACGGGGCTGCCTGGGTTCAAGTCCCAGCCCACCAGGAGAGACCCTGAGCGCAGAGCCAGGAGTCAGCCTACACACGGCCGGGTGCGGCCCAACCCCTCACGCTGCCTGCAAAAAAGGGGCAGATTTAAACTTCATTAGATAGCTCTGCGGGAAAAACAGATGACTACAAACTGTTGTATACAAAAGCCCTTATTAGCAAGACAATATAAACAAAGTTCTTCGTAGGATGAATTCGTACTTACCAAGAAGGCATCGCCATGTTCATATTCAAGGTCACCGGCATAACGGGCCTACGCAGGAGAGAAAAGAACAGTGAAATAACAGAACGCCATAAGGACACCTGCCTGCCTGACTATTCGGGGGCCAGAGAAACTCTCAGACTATGGAGTAACACACGCGTGCTTTCACTGCGTGAAACTCTTTTTTTTTTTAACTGAATCACCGTGAGATAGTTACAAAGACTTCATGACTGAGTGTCCATCATACAATGATCGAACAGCCGTCCCTGCCCCCGTGCCCATCCCCCACCACCAAAGTCCCCAGTATCCCCCCTTTCCCACCCTCCCCCTGCCTCCAGGGCAGACAATCTCCCCCGTACGCTCTCTCTACTCTTGGGCATTCTGGTTTGCAATACAGACACTGAAAGGCCGTCACGTTTGGTCCCATATCTGCTTTCAGCACACATCCCCCATCCCGAGCGATCCCTCCAACCATCATTTTCTTAGTGATCCCGTCTCCATCTCAGCTGCCTTCTCCCCTGCCTTTGCCCGAGGCAGGCGCCTGCAAACCCTGGAGACAGACCAGCAGCGAGAAGGGTGAAGCTGCCTCCTCTCAAACCAGCCGTGGGGGGTCGGAAAGCCAGCAAGGAAGACCGCAGGGAGGGAGTAAAACATGGTGAGCACCCCCCTTGGGGCTCTTCCCTGGGTGGCCGGGTGACGCACCTTTCTCCTTCGGGTGCTTAGCTAGTTTACGAGAGAGAACTCCACAGGAAGGAAGAAAAATACAAGATCTGTCAAAGGGTCCAGTCGGCTCAATTCAAGTAAGTGAATGCAGGAAACCGTCCCCTAACAAAAGAACCCCAAGGCTGGCTATTCCTCTGGGCGAAAAAAGAAAAGAAAAGAAAAGAAAAAGCCATTTAGGTCTTCGACTGTAACGGGCTGCACCAGGGAGCCGAGAAGAGCCGAGGAACAGATGCAGCAGGCAGAGGAGGAGAGCACTGCTCTGCGAGCAAGAGACGGGAGTGGAAGGAGTCAGGAAGGAGTCAGGAAGGGGTCAGGAAGGGGTCAGGGCTCTGGGCTGTAAAGACGCAGCTTCGGTCCCCACCACCCGTTGGTGTGCTGTGCTAACTGTCCACCTGATGGGACTCCGGGCGAGGGCCATACGGGTCTGCGTCCAGCCAGAGACTCCCTGCGGGTTCCCCAGGCCGCTGCCGGCTTGCACGGTCCAAGCGCATCTGTCTGTCTGTCTGTCTGTCTCCCGAGTCAGTCTGTCTGTCTGTCTGTCTGTCTGTCTGTCTGTGTTTCTCTGTGGCCGGCAGGGCTGCAGGGCCAGGGTTCCCACCGTGGGAAGAGGCATTTCCGGGACCCTCTGAGATGACTTTGGTCTAAGAGGAAGGAAAACTCTGCAGCAAAGTGCGTGCACGGCAGCCTGACCCTGAAGCCCGACCACTTCCTGCAGCCCTCGGGGTGAGTTCCGGCTGCCCTGGGCGGGGAAACGGCCACTAACACCGCGGAGCAGACCTGGATTTCACGGCTGGATGAAGAGAAGGAAGCTCCTCCTCTCACCCCAGCATGGCTTGAGGCCCACCCTCCTCTGTCTGACTGTGCAGTCCTCAGTCCGCTGTGAGCCGGGACCCTGCTGGGGGACACAGCGCTGACCCACCCCTGCACTGACCCTACCCAAACCCCACCATCGCACCCACTTCCTGAGCACTGTCCAGGCTACTGTGTCGGGCTGACAGCCACACATGCTCAGACCCCGAAGCCCGATTTGACCAGGGTCCAGTCTGCATCTGTGACCCACAGACAGCCTCTCGGCAGTAAACCTGGGCATATGGTCAACTGCCGGGCTTCTCACACACTGACGGGGGAGTGCCCTCCAGGAATCCCCTGGGGCTCTCCTGAGGGAATTTAACGGATATTTTATTATTATTATTATTATTATCATCGCTTTTTGCTTTTTGGGTCACACCCGGTGATGCTCAAGGGTCACTCCTGGCTCTGCACTCAGGAATCTCTCCTGGCGGTGCTCAGGGGACCATATAGGATGCTGGGAATCGAACCCAGTTCGGCCACCTGAACCCTACCTGCTGTACTATGCTCCATCCCCCCACCCCCCTTAACATATTTGAACAGGGGGCTGGAGCAACAGCACAGCGGGTAGGGCGCTTGCCTTGCACGCAGCCAACCCAGGCTCAATTCCCAGCATTCCATATCATCCCCCGAGCACTGCCAGGAGTGATTCCAGAGTGCAGAGCCAGGAGTAACCCCCGAGCATCTCCGGGTGACACCCAAAGAGTTAAAAAAAAAATTGAACAAGTATTTGCACACCTCACAGACTTTTCCTAGCACTGAGTTCAATATTGAAAGAGGAGGCCTCAGTTTACCCTTGCTGGGAGCAGTGCTGCTTTGGCCTGGCCCAGCCTACTTTTCTGCCTCCCTGCAAATTCCTGGGCTTTTTCTGATAAACAGGGAGTTAACAATTTTCCAAGATATTCTTCTGTCCCAGAACGAAGAGTCACAAGACTAAGATAAAGGAGGAGACTCAAGGCAGGTGACCAGAAAGAGCAACCGGCCGCCCCCACCCCCACCCCGGGTTCCCTCGTTCTCTGTGATACTTGCTGAGCGACGCAGAAGGACCTTTGAAAGGCCGACACAGAACTCTGCCTTCAGACTTAGCCCTACACTGAGTCCCGCCCCTCAGGGAGCAACTTTTCTCTTCTGCTTTCCAATAAACTTTTCTGTTCTCCAACTCTGAGTCTGGGCATCTTTGTTATTCAATATTTTCACTCTTGAGAACACTGGAGTCGCAAATGGACAGAGTCGCACCTGCAGCAACACCCACAGGACCATTACCCTAACTTCTAGAGCAAAGACGGAAAGGACATCCAACGTGACCAAGAGGCCATTTTAGACTGGAAGACTTAACTCATCTTTATTCTTTTTTTTTAATCAAATTCAATGTATTAATAAATAATTTATGCATCAGTAACAGCACAAATAAGAATGGATTAATAATACATATTAAAGAAACGAACATAAAATTTTCACTTAGTGAAAATTATTAAACTTATTTAAAGATCAAAGAGAATCAACTTTTTTTTGCTTTAAATTTAAAATTAAGTTTAAAATTAGCAAACTAATCTTTATTCTTAAATCCACTATTAAAATAATGATTGTATCCAAATGCTTTTCTGAAAGAAAAAAATGAAACCGTCCCAATTGTTCCGATTCTGAATCACAAACCTGAGAACCTGAAGATACTTACGCATGTGGGCAGATATATTTGATGTGGGGACTTCGGATGCCAGCAAAGGCTTCTGCCCATCCATGCCTGAGAGAGAGAGTGACTGAACGTTAGAAGCATGGCACTCGTTTCCGTGAGAAACACACCGAGAACTTGAAATATCTGTGACTACGAATGCAAACACGGGAGGGAGCACCACGCTAAGGTGCTGGCCTGGCATGCGGCTGACCCTGACCCTGGCCCTACACCTGGTCCTCCAGCAGGGCCAGGAGTGATCCCTGAGCACAGAGCCGGGAGTTAGCCCTGAGCATCAGTGGGTGTCGCCCCCAAACAAACTCAAAACCTGGGAGGGACTTAAAAGGCTAAACATGGGGCTAGAGCAATAGCACAGCGGGGAGGGCGTTTGCCTTGCACGTGGCCGACCCGGGTTTGATTCCCAGCATCCCATATGGTCCCCTGAGCACCGCCAGGAGTAACTCCTGAGTGCAGAGCCAGGAGTAAGCCCTGTGCATCGCCGGGTGTGACCCACAAGGAAAAAAAAAACCCAACAAACATTTAGTCCGTAAGAGCTAGCAGTTTTGCCACCAACAGGAGAAGACTTATACCCGAGGTTCTGGGCTGAAGGGAGGGAGGTTCTGGGCCGGGTTCGATTCTCGGCATCCCATAGGGTCCCCTGAGCACCGCCAGGAGTGATTCCTGAGTGCAGAGCCAGGAGGAACCCTGAGGATTGCTGGGTGTGACCCAAAAACCAAAAAGCGATGATAATAATGATAATTAAATATCCCTACGTGTCCACCAAGGGGTAAATAGCAGGCAGAGGTCAGCGCCAAGGCCTGCGACCCGCGGTGAGCAGACCGCAGCTCAGTTGTGCGCCGCAGACGGAGCCGGACACCGCTGAGATCCAACCCAGCACCTCCTCAGCACACAGGGGCCCCCAGAAACCCGCCGCCAGCGCCTCCGGGGGAGACCAGCCCTGATGCTCTCGTGTGCGTCCCAAAACCAGCACAGAAGAGCACACATCCCAGGGGGTGAGGGCTCGGGGCGGGTGGGTGGGTGTCACTGATCCAGGGGTGGACGTGGCTGGCGGCCTTGTGAGCCAAGACCGCTGAGCTGTCTATCTCAAGCAGAGGAACCGTGAGGCCCAGGAATCTTATCTCCAATTGCCACTACACCAGAAGGAAAGCAGTTCCAGTCAGAGCGGCCGAGCGTCTGGGGGAGGCACCGACGGAGAGAGGGAGAGACGTGATCTTCCGGCGAGGGCATGGGACACAGGCCAGCCAACGGCTGCCCAGAGACCTGAGAACCCCCGGGAGGCCTGAGCAAGAAGGAGAGTGGACAGGTAGGCCTGGGGGGGCGGGGGGGCGGCACTGGCGGGCAGGCAGGCAGGCGGCAGAGCTGAATGGCTTCAGGGGACTCAATTTCCCCCACCTGGGAGCTCATTTTGCCCAAGAAAATTTTCCGTGGCCCCAGGATATGAACCATGTGCAGACAAATCAAACTTTTACTGAACACAGGACTTATAAAGAAATCTATCTTAAATGAGCAGCCCAATTCGGTTCTACAGATGCCTAAGTGCGGGCTGATGTCCAGTGGAAGAGGCGAGGTCAGGCGACAGGGGCGCGTCCCGGGAGGGGGATGGGGGAGCCTACTTGTTTGTGCAAGACACACAAACTGGTCTGAGGTCCACACCCGGCGTGCTCGGGGGGTCGCTCCTGGCTCTGTGCTCAGGGATCACTCCTGGTACGGCTTGGGGGACCATGTGGGATGCCAGAGACCACACAGGTCGGCCCACAGACAAGGCAAGAGCCCACCCACTGTACTATTGCTCCATCAGCAAACAGTCACAATTTAAAATCTGCTCAAACACAACCTGGCAAATACGACGTCAAGAAAAGCTCACCCCGTGGGCTGAAGCAATAGGACAGCGGGTCGGGTGCTTGCCTCCCATGTGGCCCACCGGGGTTTGACCCCTGGCACCAGGTACGGCTTCCCATCCCCACCCCAGGCACACCAGGAGGAATTCCTGAGAGCGGAGCCAGGAGCAATCTCTGAGTACTGCTGGGTGTGGCCCCCCCAAAACCAACCAAACAAAAAGTAAACGGCCTTGAAAACTTTCTCTTTAACTACGTTCAGTAAAAGCAGGAACTGAACAACAGGGGCTGGAGAGATAGTACAGCGGGTAGGGCATTTGCCTTGCACAAGGCCGACCCGGGTTCGATTCCCAGCATCCCATATGGTCCCCTGAGCACCACCAGGAGTAACTCCAGAGTGCAGAGCCAGGAGTAAGCCCTGTGCATCGCCGGGTGTGACCCAAAAAGCAAAAAAAAAAAAAAGAAAAAAAAGCAGGAACAATACTGCAGGGTGGTCCGAGCCCGCTTTGCGAATCTCACCCTTGTGCCTGACGCGTCTCCCCACTGAGCAACCAGCCCCACTCAGGAGCCACCCAGAGCACCCCGGCGGCCTTCAGAACAGAAACCCACCCTCCGCCCCGCGAGGCCAACACAGCCGCCTTGGGAAAGCGCTTTCCCCGGGCAGGCTGCCAACACTCGGGTTCACGTCCAATGCTGCAGTTTCAGTTTCTATTTAAGTGCGGGATTTTTTTTTTTTTTTACTAGATTCTCTATTTCAGGGTTTGTGCTAATAACATCAGGGAGAAGGAAGCTCTAAACATCAAGGCATCCGTTCAGCTAATTACAGCTTTGGGAATACACATTAACGAAAATTAGCGCTTACGAAACCCAATTTCCGAGCTTATTAGCGTCTGAAACAGAATAGGTTCAATTACGCCTCAAAGCCTGACCACACGTAATAAACCCCTGACCTGACACGCCGGCTGCCGTGAGCGCCAGAAGCTCGGGTCACTTCACAGAGGGCGCCACGGACAGACAAGGCGGTGGCGGCGAGTACTTCAAGGGGGAGTCTCCAGCCCACGCCGGCTGGTTCATCCGGGGCAACCCCGAGGGGCACGGGTGAGGCCGCTGCCCGCCCCAACAGCCCCAAACCTCCAGAACTCACCCGGCGCCGTGGGGGGGGGCTACCCCCAAAGCCTCCCCTCGGTTTCTGCGAGGCCCTTCCAATTATTCAGCTCAGTCACAGAGGTGGGGCCACGGCATGTCACATCCGAATGATCAGAATCCTACTGGCTATTTCTGCCCAAACCAGACCCTAAGAGGCAGCTGTGGGTCCGAATGACACATCTCCACTTATGCTGTGTCCTGAAATGTGCTGTCCTTTTTACTCTTTTATTTATTTTTTGGGGGGGAGGGGGGTGAGCCACACCTGGCAAGCTGAGGGGACAGTATAGTACAATGGGCAGGACACTGCCTGGCATGCAGCTGACCTGGGTTAGATCCCCGGCACTCCAGAGGGTCCCCTGAACCCCACCAAGTGATCCCCGAGCACAGAGCTGGGGGAAAGCCCTGAGCACCGCCCATGTGAGGGCTGGTGCCAAGGCACCGGGGCAGGGCCCTGGCCTTGCACACGGCTGATCTGGGTTCACTTCCTGGTATGCCCTATGGTCCCCTGGGCACTGCCAAGAGTGACTGCTGAGCGAACGCAGACCCTGGAGCAAGCCCTGAGCACCACCAGGTGTGACCCCAAAACCCAGCCTCCCTGCACTCTTCACCCCCCTCCCCCCAAAAAAAGCACTGCAACTTGCGTGGCCCCCAAACAAAAACAGAAACAAGAACTGGAGAGTGGGGGGCAGAGAGACACTACAGCAGGGAGGGCGTTTGCCTTGCATGCGGCTGACCCAAGTTCAATCCCGGTATCCCATACAGTCCCCCCAGCCAGGAGTAATTCTGAGTGCAGAGCCAGGAGTAACCCCTGAGCATTGCTGGATGTGACCCAAAAAGCAAAACAAAACAAAACAAAAAAACTAGAGGGTGGGCTGGGGGGGAAATATACATCCCCCCCCATCAGCCAGCACCCCCGCATGCGGGATCTAAGAATGACAGAGACCGTAGGAGCCAGCCTGTGCCCAGCATGCCCAGATCCCGAGAACTGGGCGCGGCCGAGCTGCCCCTCCCAATAGCCACAGACACAGTCCCCTGGGTGTCCTGGGACGTGTGCAAAACTGCCAGCTGCCCTTTCTCTTCCGCGTGCACCCTGAGGCCCCGCAGGGATTCCGACGGACACGGTCTAGCCTGGGCATCCCGGGGCCGGGAGGCATCCTCTCAGTTAGGGCACCTGACTGCGGAAAGTCACTGCCACGACACGCGGCCAAGCACCCGGGGTCGGGGGCTGCAGGCAACTGGGCAGCGCCTGGCGGCTGAGCTGTCTCCCAGCACGAGAACCTGCCCTGTTTGGGCCACACCCTCTGTGTTCAGCACCCACGGGTCACTTGCCCTGCACCCAGGGATCACTCCCGGTACTTCTTCCGGGTACTTCTTCCTCGCCCTGAACCCAGGGATCACTCCCGGGGGTGCTCAGGGCTGACTCCTGGCCCTGCACTCAAGGGCTGCTCCTGGCACGGTTTGGGGGACCGTCTGGGGTACCAGGCATCGAATCCGGGTGAGCTGCGTGTGAGGCAAGCGCCCTCCCAACGCTACTATCCCTCTGACTCCCTGCAGGAAAACTTTTTCTTCTCTTTATTCCATTTTTGCTTCAGAGACTACACCTGGCAATGCCCAGGGGTTATTCCTGGCTCTGCACTCAGGGACCAATCCCGGCACTGCTTGGAGGACCGAACCCAGGTCAGCCGTCTGCGATACAAGCGCCCTGCCTCAGTGCCACCACCCCAGCCGGAACACGGCCCGCTTCCCCACACAGAGGTCTGTTTCATTGGGCTATGCTAGCACGCACCAGGGATGAATGGACCGAGAGCCTGGGAGGAACTTGGCACTTTTTGTTTTTGCCCGACTGGGAGAGCTAGACCAAGGCCTCCATGGTCCATTGAGACCACAACAGAGCTAGGTGCAGGGGCTAGGGCCAACGTACAGGGGGGCCAGGCGCTGGCCTTGCCCGTGGCCAAGCCCTGTTTGATTCCCAGCACCCCATATGGTCCCCCGAGCCTGCCAGGATAATCCACGGAGAACCAGCTCCAGGCGGGGCCCCAAACAAGAACAAAAACCACACTCAGAAAAGCTCAGGTGTAGGAAGCTTCTCGGTGTACTCCGGTATGGCTTGGTCCCACAGACTGAAAATTAAAACTGAGAAGAGAGAGAATGAGAGAGATAAATAGAGACTTAATATATCAGGTCTATTAAGACCCGCTATTCGGGTCTCTCAAAGAGGAATCGAAAGAGCTATGCTTGGAGTGTCACGCTTCACTCAAATGAGAGGAAGAATCCGGAGTTCCCATCTCCATCAAGGCTCAAGAATCAGGGATGCTGTCTCATTTGCCAGGGCATCAAAAATCAAAATGGGCTGGACACGTAATGAGGTTTACAGACAACCGCTGGACTAGAGCCATTACTGACTGGATTCCACGGGACGTCAAAAGATCGCGTGGACGCCCACCTACAAGATGGTCAGACTTCTTCGTCAAGACCCTGAATGATCTGCATGTTTGAGGCTCTGCCTGTTCCTAGAACCAGCAGATGCCATTGGGCTATGCTAGCACGCAACAGGGATGAATGGAGACGCTACTGGCACCCGCTTGAGTAAATCGATGAATAACGGGGTATCAAGTGATCAAGTGGTCAATATATCAAGAGCATCCATGACACCCTGACATAACAAACTGAAAGTTCCAGGGCCAGAGAGAGTACGGCATTTAAAAAAAAAAAATTCTGAATTACTTTCAGGAGCCAAATGGAGCAAGGGCTGGGTCCTGAGCTCTGCAGGCAGGAAACCCAGTTCCATCCTGGTCTCTGGAGCATGGCCCAGAGACCCCTGAGCACAGGGCCAGGAGGAGGCCCCAGGGGAAGAAAGCACAAAATCGAGCAAAAGCTTCCCTGTGGGAAAAAAAAAATTTAACTTCTGAGTCCCCCCCCCCCAATTCTGAAATCTCATAAGTGTTCATATTTTACCTAACTTACATAGAAATGATCAGATTTGAAATCACGGCTTTCACATTTGAAAACAAGACTTTACAATTTGGGGGTGGGTGGGTTTCACACCCTGCAACGTGGGCTCAATGACCACGTGGGACCACCAGGGTCCGCCCAGTGCCAGGCACGTGCCCTACCCGCTGTCCCATCTCTCCAGCCTCTCGCAATCGTTTTTAAAAGCCCCAAATCAGCACAGAACTGGCTCCCTGAGCCTTTCAGGAAATCTCTGAGCCGATCCGACAGCACCAGCTACTTGTTTGCGACCCGCCCTGAAGTGTGCCTTGCTTTGGTTTGGGGGCCACACCCAGAGGCGCGCAGGGCTTTCCTCGGCGGGGTGAGGGAGTTCGGACCCCCGGCCGGCTGCGCGCGCGCGGGGGGGACAAAGTGGGGAAGTTCCCACCGCGCCCGCAATTTCCACTCCGCGGGGAAGCTCAGCTGCGGGGTCTCCACGGACACTCCACTCGCTCGCGCGTGTCCAATCCCCGCAGCAGCGCACGGACTGGGCGGCTTTTATAGGGTCCCGACACGGGGGTGGGGTGAGGGGCTAAGGAGGAGGGATAAGGGGCCGGGGGCGCCAGGCCGCCGGGGAGGGCGTCTGCCCGGCACTGGCCGGCCCGGGTTCGATCCCCGCCACCCCGGAAGGTCCCGGGAGCATCATCTCCGGGAGCGATTCCCGCGCGCAGAGCCAGGAGTGACCCCTGGGCATCGCCGGGTGGGACCCCCCGCCCCCAAAGAGCCCAAACCACGAAGAAATCCTGAAAACGGAGCGATAAGCCCGAGACACGGAGAGCGAAGTTTCCGGGCGTGCGGTCGCCCGCGGTTTTCCAGGGAAACATTGTATCTCCCGGCCCGGCCGCGCGCGTCCCTGTAGCAAGCCCCGCGCCCCGGGCGAGCGCGCCCCCGCCCCGCGCGGTCCCGGCCGGGCACCTACCCGGTGTCTCCGAGTCCGTGCAGGAAAATCACCTGCAAGAGAAGCGGGAAAGGCCCGTGAGCACCGCGCCTCGGAGCCCCGCGCCCGCCCGCCCGCAGTCGCGGCCCAGGCCTCCGGGGCGGCCCGGGCGCGGGGCCTCGCGCCGCCCGCCGCGGGCACGGGCGTGGGGGGGACAGGCCGGCCCGCCCCGCCCCGGCCCGGGGCCCACTCACCGCGGCCGTGGCCTTCCGGGCGGCCGGCACGATGGCGGGCAGCGGCGCCGACATGTTATTGCCGCACATACACCGGCCGGCGTGACGCGCCCAACGCTCCCGACCCGGCGCCCGCCCGGCCAAGGGCACCGCCGCCCGCCCCGCCCCGCCCCGCGCGCCCCGCCCCGCCCCGCGCGCCCGCCCGCCCGCGCGCCCCCGGCCCGCCCCGCGCGCCCCCGGCCCGGCACGTGCGCGCCCTGGTCCGACCCGCGCGCCCCCGGCCCGACCCGCGCGCCCGGTCCCCCCCGCGCGCCCCCCTCGGCGCGTCACCGGGGCGCGCTCTGCGCCGCCCGGCCTGCCCCGGGTACCCGCGCACCGGCGCGCGCTCCGGCCGGCCGGGCCCCAGGGAGGGGCGCGCTTGGGCCGGGATGGGCCCGGGAAGCGCTCGGACCCCGGGGAGGGACTCGCTCGGGTCGGCCGGGGACACGGAGGGAAGCGCTCGGACTCCCGGGAGAGGAGCGCTCGGGCCGGCGGGGCCCCGGGGAGGGATGAGCTCGGACCCCGGGGAGAGGAGCGCTCGGGCCGGCCGGGCCCCGGGGAGGGATGCGCTCGGACCCCGGGGAGAGGAGCGCTCGGGCCGGCCGGGCCCCCGGGAGGGATGCGCTCGGACCCCGGGGAGAGGAGCGCTCGGGCCGGCCGGGCCCGGGGAGGGATGCGCTCGGGCCGGCCGGGGACGCGGAGGGAAGGGCTCAGACCCCGGGGACGGATGCGCTTGGACCCCGGGGAGAGAAGATCTCGTGCCGGCCGGGCCCCCGGGAGGGATGCGCTCGAACCCCAGGGAGAGGAGCACTCGGGCCGGCCGGGCCCCGGGGAGGGATGCGCTCGGACCCCGGGGAGAGGAGCGCTGGGGCCAGCCAGGCCCCAAGGAGGGGAGCGCTCAGGCCGGCCGGGCCCCGGGGAGGGATGCGCTCGGACCCCGGGGAGAGAAGATCTCGGGCCGGCCGGGCCCCGGGGAGGGATGCGCTCGGACCCCGGGGAGAGGAGCGCTCGGGCCGGCCGGGCCCCGGGGAGGGATGTGCTCGGACCCCGGGGAGAGGAGCGCTCGGGCCGGCCGGGCCCGGGGAGGGATGCGCTCGGGCCGGCCGGGGACGCGGAGGGAAGGGCTCAGACCCCGGGGACGGATGCGCTTGGACCCCGGGGAGAGAAGATCTCGGGCCGGCCGGGCCCCCGGGAGGGATGCGCTCGAACCCCAGGGAGAGGAGCGCTCGGGCCGGCCGGGCCCCGGGGAGGGATGTGCTCGGACCCCGGGGAGAGGAGCGCTCGGGCCAGCCAGGCCCCAAGGAGGGGAGCGCTCAGGCCGGCCGGGCCCCGGGGAGGGATGCGCTCGGACCCCGGGGAGAGGAGCGCTGGGGCCGGCCGGGCCCGGGGAGGGAAGCGCTCCAGCCGGGGCGTCGGTGCAGCGCGGTCCACGCCGGGCGCCCTCTCCTTCTTCCTCTCTGCCTGGGGGTCGGGCAGCCCGGGGCCTCTCTCTGCCTGGCCCGCTCCTACCCCGCCGAGGCTGCAGCGAGTCCACCGGCCCCGCCAGCCCCGGGAATCGCCAGGCCCGGTCGCAGAGCCTCCCGGGACGGTGGAAACCAGACACCGGCGGCGCCCGGCCGCGCCCCGAGCGCTGACTCCGCGCGGGGGTCTCCGGTGGCGGCGCGGCATCGACCCGTTTGTTCCAGGCGGCCGCTGACGGCCGCGCTGATGCCCTGACTCAGAGGCGTCCCCATCGATTGACAGCAGTAGTCCTGGGTGGAGACCACCAACTCCGCTAGTGCCGGGCTGCCAAATTCGTGATTGGGACGGTGGCAAAACTCACAACACCAACAGGTTCTGGGGTCTGGGTCGGGACTGTCCCTCCGCGTGTAAGTGCCAGAAGGAGGGAATGAATTCCATCACCCAGCCTGCCTTCCCGGTCCAAATGCTGCGGTTCCCGCGAAGGCCATCCAGGTCCTGCAGCCTCAAAGCCACCTCAGTGGGACCACAGGACCACTAATTGGATCATGAGGCTACCTCTGAGCTGCGGGCGGTGCTCAGGGAACCTGTGTCCTGCCGGAGATGGAGCCGGCAGGTGCCTTACCAGGCCCTGGTCTCATCTCCAGGTGAGGACGGAAGAAGCCAAGACAGTAACAAACAAGGCAGACGCATCCTTTCCGGCTCATCACAACAGAATCCAATAGGTTGTTTAAACATTATGGGGGATTTCCAAAAGAAAGTTATCGAACAGGCAAAAATGGTTTTTTAGATGGTTTTTTAGCTCTAAATGGTTTTTTAGATGGATTTTTAGCTCTAAGAGATGCTTAGATCATCTGGAAGGAAAAGTATCTCTCAGTAGAAGTTTAAAAGTCAAGGCTGAGTCCTTCCGGGTGTTCATTTCTCCTCTGGCTCTTTGTACAGTTTGGGTTTTGTTTGGGGCCACACCAGGCGAGGCTGGAGTTCATTCCTGGCTCTGCACACGGGGATCACTCCTGGTGGGGTGCCGATGGTGTGTGGATTGTACCAGGGTGAGCTGCACGCAAAGCAAGTGCTTTTTTTTTTTTGCTTTTGCTTTTTGGGTCACACCTAGCAATGCTCAGGGGTTACTCCTGGCTCATGCACTCAGGAATCACCCCTGGCGGTGCTCAGGGGACCATATGGGATGCTGGGAATCGAACCCGGGTCGGCCATGTTGGCTGCGTGCAAGGCAAACGCCCTACCCACTGTGCTATTGCTCCAGCCCCAAAGCAAGTGCTTTGTCTGCTGAACTTTCTCTACTGCGCTGTACGAGCAGTTTGCCTCTCTGGATATCAGAAGACCAAATTATAGTTTATGCCAATATGTTTTGGGGTGTGATCCCAAAACAGAATACAAAAATTAGTGTGAATGATAGAAGATGGGCAGGAACGATAGCACAGCAGTAGGGCGTTTGCCTTGCAAGCGGCCGGCCCGGTTGAGCCGGATTCGATTCCTCCGCCCCTCTCGAAGAGCCCGGCAAGCTACCGAGAGTATCTCGCCCGCACGGCAGAGCCTGGCAAGCTCCCCGTGTCGCATTCGATATGCCAAACACAGAAACAAGTCTCACAACGGAGACGTTACTGGGCCCGCTCGAGCAAATCGATGAACAATGGGAGGGCAGTGCAGTGCAGTGCAGATAGAAGATATCTTTATTTGTCTATTTTTTTTTCTGAGTCTGGCCAGGAGATAGATAACTGGCCTTATTTGGGGATGAGACACACTTGTGTTATACGTAAGGGCCTACGCTCATTCACGGATGCCTGCGGCTTTTGCCATCCAGTTCATGGTAAGCCAGTGCAGGTCCGGTACATAAAAACAGATGACGGTGTGCCCGAGAAGTTTGGCACTCTTTTGTTGACAAAAGCCAAGCAAACACGCCTGAATTGGAACACACGGCAACACCCACAGAGAACCTGACCCGGAGAAGCAAATTCAACGCACACCCAAGGGAATTCCATATCAGATCTCGCCCTGAACTCAATTTCATTCCTTAGTCATTTGCGGGAAGAGACGAATGTGATGCTGCCTCTGCCTTTTAAGCATCTGGGGTTCGAGAAAGCGCCTTGGAGGGGCCTAGGCAAAAGGACAGAGGGAGGGCGTTTGCCTTGCAGGGGACCGACCCAAGTTCGACCCTGGCGAGATCCCATGTGGTCTCTTGAGCAATGCGCGCAGTAATTTCTGAATGCAGAACCTGGAGTGACCCCTGAGCATCACTTGGTGTGACTCAAAAACAAACAAAAAGGGAAAGAGAGGAAGTGCCTCTGGTACCCAGGTGGGAAGTTGTTTGCCTTTGGAAGCGGTCGACAAGCTGAGACTGCTGAAGACGCTGTAGAGGGGTCTCGGGCCACACCGTCCCACGGTCGGGACATCAGCCAGGCTGAGAAATCACAGTGGGAACGCTTGTCTCGGGGCCGAAGTGACAGCACAGCGGGGAGGGCGTTTGCCTTCCATGCGGCTGACCTGGGTTCGATCCCAGCATCCCTGAGCTGGGAGTCCTGAGCACTGCCAGAAGTAATTCCTGAGTGCAGAGTCAGGAGCATCACTGAGCATCACTGGGTATGACCCAAAAAATAAAATATGAAAGCATTGTCTTAAAGGGGTATGGTGTTTTGATGACACTTGCTCAGGCCTTAATAATTGGGGACGGAGGGGAAGAGAAAGGGAAGGTTTTGTGAGAGATTAAGGTGACCTAGGACTTAAGTGTCCATGAGATTGAAATACCAAAGCCTTACGTTTCTACAATTGGCTTTTTTTTCTTTTTGCTTTTTGGGTCATACTCGATGATGCTCAGGGGTTACTCCTGGATCTGCACTCAGGAGTTACTCCTGGCGGTGCTCAGGGGACCATATGGGATGGTGTGCTGGGAATCGAACCCAGGTTGGCTGTGTGCAAGGCAAAAGCCCTACCCGCTGTGCTATCACTCTAGCCCTTACAGTTGGCTTCTAATTGTATTATTTTATGGAAAAAAATATGGATGGGTGGGGGGTGCTGGGAGATGACTCAAAGGTCTGGAGTGCATTTGTGGGTGTGGGTGTGTGGGTGTCGCATGTAGAAATCCTCGTTCAGTCCACGTTAAACACCACGTGGTCCCCAAAACACCACCAGCAGCAATGTTGGAGCACAGAGCCAGGAGTAGCCCCATGAACATGACCAGGTGTGATCCAACAGGAGATGCAGCTCCATGGGTGCAGTGCATGCTTTGTGTGAGGTCTGGGTTGTAACACGCAACACGCACGCACACACAAACACACATTCCCTACCTCTGCCACAAGATGAAAAACAAACACGAGACATCAGGAAAAGGGCAAAGCTATAACCAAGAATGGAAAGGACATGGCTCATTTCACTTTGGAGTCCCTCGGACCCCAACTTGGAGGTGCCATTTGCCAACGACGATGCTTTATTTTCTCCTCTCCTACTGCCTCAAGTTTACTTCATATTGTGTAGAAAGGGCCATAAGACAGCACAGAGGTGACAGCCTATCCCAGTTCGATCTCCAGCACCGCATACGGTCCCCCGAGCACCATCAGGGGTGATCCCTGAGCACAGGGCCAGGAGTAAGTACAGAGCTGGGTGTGGCCCCCCAAAAAACAAAATTATATAGAAATATACAGTATTACTATAAGGGCTGGAGCGATAGCACAGCGGTAGGGCGTTTGCCTTGCACGCAGCCAACATGGCTGACCCGAGTTCGATTCCTCCGCCCCTCTCGGAGAGCCTGGCAAGCTACCGAGAGTATTCGATATGCCAGACACAGTAACAACAAGGTCTCCAATGGAGACGCTACTGGGCCCGCTCGAGCAAATCAATGAACAACAACAACAAGGTTATCTATTACTCAGGATTATCAATGCCACCTACTCTCAATTGAAACCCAGTTTTGTTTT